ATTTGTATCACTCAAATTCTCTCTACTTTTCAGCTGATATCGTAGTGAAAGAAGATAGAAAGAGATATAAAATATTGTAACACTGAAATTTAGTTAAATCAATGTTTTTTTTTGAAATTGTTGTCAAAACGGAGAGGGGAAATGTACTTTAAAGGAGAGAAAATGTCTAAATAGAAAAGAAGAAGATTGTAGAGAGAGTGGCAATACAAGAACGAGACTGAATATAAACCAGAAAAACCATAAGGAGACCAGTAACTGGCTAAACTCTAATCAGGAAGAAGGAATATTGCAAAAATACTGGTAATAGAATAAAGAAACTAAACAGAGGCTGGAAGAATTGTAAAGGTAGTAGGCAGAGAGGGGGGAGGCTGGAATGAAGGTATAAAGGCTAGAAAGATAAGAAGGAGATTAGTAGTAGAAAAAGAAACTGAAGAAGATCTGGAGAAGCATGAAAGGGACTTGATAGAGAAACAGGAAAACTGGACAGAGATTGATAATAGAGTAGGAAGAATGATCAGACACTGGAAAGAGAGGGACAGAAAATATAATAAAAGAAACGGACTGATCAGAAAAACTTGCTGTGCGAAAAGCGATATGAAAAAAGGCTATAAAGGCAAGAAAGAGACTGGGCAAAGAAGAGGAAGGCAGAAAAGACACTGGTAATAGAAGAAACGGAAAGGTCAACATTTTTTTAAAATAAACATAAATCTTAAGTAAATAAAAACAAACAAATTTTATTTAAATTAAATAACTGATAAAAATGGAAGAAATAATAACTCTTAACTATTTAAATAATAATTAAAAATAGAAGAAACGACCCAAACAGAGAAGACAGAAATTATGTTCAGAGACATAATAAAAAACGAGGTTGTTTTAATGAAATATGTGGATATTATTTACATCAAGCTTGTGAACTTCTAAGCATCTAATCTTGGCAGATTCAAAAACTTCTCAAGGAATTTACTTTACAAATACATTTTTTCTCCGTAAAAGCTTTTAAATGCAGATTGTCTAATATTTGTTTACCCTTGTTTATATCTATGATTTAACCTTAAAGTTTTTAAACCCACTGAACTAAAACACAAATATATTGCTTTTAATCGTCTGAGCTCTATAATATTGATGACAATCTCATATACTCTTTACTTTTACATTGCTTTATCTTTTTTTCTCAACTGACGAAATTTTTTAAAGAAGAAAGTATTTTTTTTTCCTTATTTTGTTATGTTTCAGATAATATCTGCTGTCATAAAGTGCTTGATATTTTTTTGCTGGCCAATTAGGAATATCGTATTCCTCAAATTCTCGTCTCGTTTTCGAGACGAGACTCGGACAAGACAAGACGACACTTTCATTGGTTTCGTCTCGAATTTCGTGCATGAGGTCTTGCGTCTCGTACGAGAGTCTCGCAGGTAAGTATTTCTGCAAATAATGTCTGCAACATTTCTGTAAATATTTTCGTATCTACACGCTGGAATTCCAGTAATGATATGTTGAAGGTACCTTTTGAAGGTAGACATGGACTTGGTGCATTGCGTCAAGATGTTGTTGCTTTAAAACCATATATTTGAGGACAAAGAATGGATACTACTAGAAGAAGTGCATAAATTACTAGTCAACTTTCAAATACTTTCCAAGCTACTAGGAGGAGATTTAATTACCTATGGTGGTTGTATGTATCAATATACTAATAGATAATATTGAGAGCAAAATATTTGCATGGGAGCAAAAGGCAGATCGAAACGCTGTCGAAGAGCAGCTTATTGTTAGTTTTCAGGCTGCGAGAGGCAAAATATTAAAGCATTATCGTAAAGCTAATTAGATTTATGCTGTAGTTTTAATTCTCGATTCGCGGCATAAGATAGAAGATTTTTGATATGATAAGATGGTGCCAAGAATTAAAACAGACTTCGATTCAGAAATTTGAAGATGTATACAAAGCCTATTTCATTGGAGGAACGAGGAGATTCTAGACCCGAAAAGTCGGATTTTGTAATTGATTTTGATGGTTTGTATGCAATAATATTATTCTATGCCATGGTGTAATAAAGACACAGATATATTACAATGGTGGAAAATTCATGCTTCTGAATTTCCTATTTTAAGTTTAATGGCACGAGATCTCTTAAGCATACCGGCTACTTCAGTCCCGGCGGAAAGATTATTCTCACGTGCTGCATTAACTATAAGAAAACATCGAAATCGCCTTAATAATAAATCTGCACGATGTTTGTTATGCCTAAACGATTGGGTGAAAAACAAAATCATTTGCGACCGACAGGGCTGAGGGCTGTAATTCTCTTCCGACTCTTACATTATAGCAAGTATTTAAGTATACCTTATTACACCGAAACAATAAGATTATGCATGACGAGATTTAGATACTTTTATAAGATTCTCGTACGAGAAACGAGACGAGAATGAAGGTTGCGAGACGAGACTTGATACAAGACTTATTAGTTCATCGGCGAGACGAGAGAAGACTTTATGAAAATCTCGTCTCGTTGGTCTCGTGCGAACCACTACACTCTAACTTCAGGTTGAAAATCTACTCTTTAACAAATACATAATATGGCAAAATGATTGATCCTGTTTCGAAAGCGGAGTAAAATCTAATCAAGTAAAATAAAGGAATAAACCTTATTATTTTACAGTATTTGTGGAGCTTTTAACATTATCTTTCAAGAAATACTTTCAGATGTTCATGACTTTTTTAATTTTGTGGTTATCGTTTATTAAAGCTGCACCAAATCTCCTTTGGTCAATTAATCTGGCATAAAATGATCAGTTGTTTTACATAATAATGCAAGTGAATTCTTAAACATATTTATTGCCACCGAATGACTACTGTTTATAGTTTATAGGACTATAAACTGTAGTTTATAGGACATTTTGGATTTGAGCAGCATGCCAGCAATCATTTTTAGGGAGTATACTCCACTCTTAAGGTTTATTTTATTGAAATAAAAACATTTTTCAACAATTCAAATGAACATTTAATTTAGCATTACCTGGCATTTGAACACTCATTAATGCTGCGTATAGAACTGAGATGGTTTTTGTTTTAACATGTTTTATTTTTTTAATTCTCATTCTGGTATAGTAAATATTTGTGGGATTAACTAATTATCATAAAATGAACAAATGCTCGTAAACCTATCTAACAAATAAAAGTTAAAATCGATAATGCAAGCTAATCGATAGACACGTGTACCTTCGACGTAAATGGATAATTTCTTTTATCTAGAAGAAATTTTAAGGTGTGTTCACATGTTTAAAAGTGGTTGGTTTATGATGAACGAGTGTTTGCTCACGCGTAACGAGACTTGAGGGTGACGCCGAAGTAATATTTACGACTCTGTAAAATTGCTTCGACCTCCGGCCCAGAAGTCGACCGATAAAGTCACGTCGTTCGCTGTAAATCCCTGCCAACAGAAATTTTATTTCTCCAACGGCAAATCTGCGTTTCGAATCGCACGATGCCAACGGAACTTTACGACAGGAGTAATCTTTCGAAATATTTTCAAGTGTGTATGTACAACTCGATCGAATAAAAATATAAAATCCCTGACTTACGTTATTTTATTTATCTAAATTTTTTCAATTCTACGGGGTGAATCTTATTTTTACACTTTTGAAGTGAATTCGTTACAGACCCTTTAATTTTCGTACATTCCACTCTGATGATTTTAAATTTAATAATGAGTCCATTCGTATTTTAATCGAATTTGGTTCCATTAATAATTTCGAGACGTTTCAATTTCGTAAGATTACACGTATTTCTCAAATGGAAATCGAGCTAAAGTTGGGTTCTCGTATGTCGGAAAGGCGTCGATTGAATTTATGAGTATGCGGTCTGAAAATGTGTATTTATAGCTTGTCTTGTGTCTCGTTCGCAAACATTGCGTGGGAGTTTATTACAGTTTTTTTTATTTCAGTTTCCTTTATTTACCTCTTTTATGTCGCTTTGTTGTCGCTATAAATATAAACAAGAAAACAGTAGCCGGTGTTGTAATATTTCGCGTAATTACCCCGGTTAACCTAATTAAGATAATGCTTTCAGCGATCATAATATTTCGCGTAAATCACGAAACCCGCAGAGCCGCACCTCAAAAATTAATACCGCGGTTTACGGTCTCGGAAGGGTGCTCTTTACACCCACCATATCAATAAATCTTATCGAGCTTTCCTCCCCTGAACCAACATAATAAAAGGGGAACTAGAAACAATCTGTTTTGCGTTGTTTTGTAATTAAATTCATGATTCTATTTTCAGTCGATATCGTAAAAACTCAATGTTATAAATAAAGTTTATTTTGTCCAGGTCATCACGTAAAAATTGACGATGTGATGTGCATTGTTGTGGATGATTGACAACCTGCGCGACAAAGATAACACTCTTTTTGTGAAAGCGTGTTATACATTTATCATGTCGAGAGGTCGCATTATGACCGGGCTGTTTACTACGAGGGAACCGAAAGGGTCCTTCGAAATTGAAGTAATAAAATATATAAAGAAGGGTGAATTTTCGGGTGAACCATTTTTGAAACTTTTCCGATTTTTTATTCCGATTTTAAATAAAAATTAGCGATAATTTATCAGGTTCGTAAAAGTTTTTTGAATTCTTGATTAAAAATACACTTTGCTCAAGAACTTCCCTCCATAAGCGATTTTAATTATTCAGTTTAATCCCGAAGAGTTATAATACTGAGCGGAGATTCTTTTCTTTGCGATTCTTCGATCGTTTTGTGCAGTTTCCCATCATTTTACCTCCGCCTTATAGAGCTTTTAATTTAGAGAGTGCTAAGCCCAAGCTTTCGAACGGTTTACGTTCGCTTGTAGATGTTTTATGGACCACTTCGGTTTCTATAAAAACTATCCATTTACACTATTAATTTTTTAGATAATAAATAAAAGATTTCATGGCAATTTTAAGATGAGTCAAAATCTTCTATCAATAACCACATTTATATGAGGTTTCATATAAAGCTACATACTAACCTGTATGAGGCAATAAGGCGACTTTCAATATCCTCGCCTGAAAAACCTTTCCAGCTAAAGTTGGCCCCGGGAAAGTAATATCCCTTTCGGCAAATACATCTATAGCCACCCCTCCTCTCTCCGTATTCGAACTGGGGCTCACACTGCAAAAGAAAAAAAAAGCCGGATGAGAAGAGAACGTGAGATGAATTCGAAAGAGTAATATTTAACGATATCCTCGGGGACTTACTATAGTCGTTTGTCTGTCACACTGATGTGTCCACCCCAAATATCCTCCAACTTGGTCATCACACTGATTAATCTTCATCGGGATGAAGATAGCAATCCCAATCTCGTTAGTTTTCATCACGTACGCATGCAACCACATTCGATATAAAAAATTACAGTCTCTAAACGGCGGAGTCCAACCGTTCGATAACGCCGTATCGTAAGATTTCCAAAATGTACTCGTTTCCGACGTTCTATTCGGAAACATTTTCATCCTTCCACGAATATTGAGCACCAAAATTGGATATTTGTTTGAAGAGGAACTGAGAATCAAACCGATGACATCTGAGTAGGTGGAGAGAACGCTTTGTGATATAAAAGAGTAGTTTCCTGTTTCCATTTGACCTATTATGTTGTTTACCACGAGAGAAACCTCAACGTCCAGTGTAATGGGGGCACGTGGCTCAGATAATGTTTTTGTTGTACACTGCTCATGATTTTGGTGGAGGACAAATGTATTATTGGAGGCTAATACACCGGTGAAGAAGAGAAATAGAGGGGCGGCTGCGTTCATACCGTCATTATTGGTAGAAGTCACTTGATAAAAGGTGTAGCAAGGTTATTGTAATAAACCTGAAAAGAAAATTATATTATTAAAAATAATTATTTATACAATTTTCAGAAAAATCGCTAAAAAATACCCACCCCCCATTTTTATTACAGAATATGAAAGAAAATTGAAAAAAATCTTTATAAAAAGATATTACTTTGGTTTCATTCGATTTATATTTAACAATTTTAACTTTAACGTCTAATTTTCCCTAAAATTAATTTTCTATTTCAGCTTTTACTTCTTGTAAAGAGTAACTTTGAAGGAATATCGTAAAGTAATCGTATTAATATTAGATTACTTTACGGTATTTTACGGTGGTATCTTGAACTTTACAAACCTCTCAGTAACTATCATATTTATGAAATCTATCTTATAATATATCGTTGGTGCACAAGAAAAGTGACACATCTCAAAAATCGTCATTTTTTAGTTGAATGAAAAAATATGTTTAAAAAATGTTTTATTTTTATCAACAAATACGTCATAAAGACAATTTACAAAATAATTGGCGAGGGCACAAGTATCACTTTGTCTTTGAGCGCGAAATTAAGGGTTGCGCACATGAAAAGTGACACAACTTTAGTTGTGTCTATGCAGTTATCGTGTACATGTCGCGTTTCTCAAGAAAAACGTCACATATCAAATTCGATAGTGGCAACTCCAGGGTATGAAACAATCTTTGCAAGAAAAGTGTCACTTTATGATTTGTGTCTTTTTTGATCATAAAGTAAGTTGACTTTAATAATGTCATTTATCTTGTGTATGCATTTCTTTAAGTTGTGACATTATTCTTGAATATTTATACACAATCTAAATAATAAAGCGGATCTAAAATGTATTTTTCTGAATGGTGTCACTTTTGTTGATACTTAAGAAATAGAATTTAATGTTAAGTCGTAAAATTTTTAATTCTATCACTTTTCTTGAGAAAAATGTTAAAATCATCTATCATTAAAAAATCAACTATTCAAAATAAGAATAATGGAAAATTGGCAATAATGATAAAAATAATTTTATTCAAAATGAAACGAATACTCAACTATTGACAATAAGTAATGAAAATGATGTAATGCACAGCAATGTGGACAACGATGAGAATACAAATATAGCTATAAGTAACGTTGAGATTTGTTTAGCGATTCCAGATGCCCCAACAGTTACCAGTTCTGAAACTGGCACTTCATCTGGTAGTGAACACTATTCACAATTTGATGATTCGGACGCAGACCCAAATTTCAGCTCCAGTTCTACGTCATCTTCAAGTAGTTTGAGTAGCGATTCTGAAGAGGGCCTGTCTGCAGATGAATCCTTGGCAGAACAGCCTGTTTTACCAAATGAATCAGCAGAAGTTAATTTAGAAAATAACCAAAAAAGGCAAGAAGAGAAATGCAAATCCCGAGAAATGGAAAAAGAACGTTGCGAAACGATGTAGGAATTCTGGCTTAGAGTATACATCAAGTTCTAAACGTAAAACAATTTTTAAAGCTAACAGTTTAGGACCGCCGTGCAGTTCAACATGCAGACTGCAGTGTAGTGCCAAAATCACAGAGGAAGACCGAAAGGCAATTTTTTCAGACTTCTGGAATTTGGGTGATTTACAAAAGCGAAACTAAATCGAACAACTACGCATTTTATTTCACGATTAATTCAACAAAATGTAGGGTCTGCAAATTTTTTTTTCAAAACCACATTTGCGATAACAGACAGGCCAATCAGAACTGTATTTAAGAAGTAGACATTTACTATTAAGGGAATGATAACCCCAGATCAGCGAGGAAAACATAATAATTATTACCAAATTGACAACGATGTGAAAAATAGTATTCGAAGCCATATAAATTCGACACCGCGTATGGAGAGCGTAGGAAGGATTCTAGCCTAGAATACATCGAAGGAGGAAAAACAGTGGCCCAACTCCATAGAGACTATGTCATTGTAGCGATCTGTAAAGAAAATAATAAATCATATGCCAATTACTTAATGTATAGTAGAATTTTCAACAACGAGTTTAAAATATCTTTTTTTTGTCCAAAGAAAGATGTCATCAGCTGAAGATAAAGAAAATATGCAAGAAGAATATGACACACATCTAATAGAAAAAGATCTCTCACGTAAAGAAAAAGATAAAGAAAACAATTTAGACAGTGTTGTCGTTGCAGTGTATGATTAACAAGCAGTTCTTCAATGTCTCAGAGGAGACATGTCCAGTTTCTACTACGTTTCCAAATTAAATGTCTTTAACTTCACCGTTTATGAACTGAAGTCAACGGCAGTGAATTGTTTTATGTGGCACGAGTCTGAAGGTAATAGAGGTATTTGCGAATTTGGAACACGTGTTTTAAATTATTTGGAATCTCTAAAAGATAGAGCTAATACCAACAAGTTGGATGTGATATTTTATTCGGATAACTGTTCTGGTCAGCAGAAGCATCAGTTTTTGTTTGCAATCTATCTTTATGCTGTTAGAAAATACGATCATACAAAATTAAATAACGCATAATTTTTTAATAAAACGGCATACGCAGAACGAGGGTGATAGCGTTCACTCTGTTATTGAGAGTCAAATAAATCGTGTCTTAAAATCAGTTCCAATTTTTGTTAAAACTACAGGACAACCGTATAAAGTTCATGAATTAAGTCATGAGAATTTTCTCAATATAAAGGATCTTCCATCTAACATTCGAATCAATTATTCAAAAATCATCGACAATGAGTCGGTTAAGATATCTAACATTAAAATCATTAAAGCTGAAAAAGGACAACCAGATAAATCATTCAGTTAAAGCAACCAAGAAAGTCAAGTAACACAAGAAGATCAGAAAATACTGTTAGTGACACTGTTGTAGAATTGAAAAGACTGTTGAACACCAAACCTGGATTAAGTGAAAAAAAAAAGAAAAGTATATTAAGTTTGTTTGCTCAGAACAAATAAAAAAAATCTGTTGTTCATACTGCGGAAGATTTTTTACTTTAATTATTTAAAAAAATTGTAATTTAAGAAGATAAAGTGTTATGGTTTGTTTTTGTACGTTTCTAAGGTATGTAATTACCAAAAAATAATAAAAATGAAGTTATAAAACAAAATGTTATACAGTTTTTATTTGATTTGTGTCACAATTTTGTCTCTTAACTTCAATCACATTTTACAAGAACAATGTCACAATTCAAATAAGGGTTGGATATTAAGAGCGGCTTTATAAACTCTGTCTAGATAATATTTTTTTTCGTAGCCTATTATATTATGAAATCGTTACAAACAAAGATACTTGGAAAAATTAGCATACATTTTGGTTTTTTTTACATGCACGTGAGCAGTAAATATTCAAACCATACTCCTGCAAAATATCACTTTTTGAGATATGTCTACGATATGAAAAAGTCTATAAAGACTCAATAAAGGAAGAGGCAAATATATCGAACATTTGGATGACGGTGACTCCAAGATATACTAAGAAGTATGTGATAAAGAGTCATATGGTGAAAAGATACACGTAAAAAAAGATTTTCATCGAATCAATATTTACCAATTTATCTATGTTGTAATTCCTAGAAAACACAAGTTGAAGGCAAGTATCATTATGCACCGATATTGCAATGGACCGTTTCTGCCTGTTTATCGAAAAGCTTCGATTTTGGTCTCTTAAGCTAGTAATCTGTAAAAAAGAAGTTTGCAAAAAGCTCTAAATGTCACAAATAAATCTTTAAAAGTGTAACTTTTTTCGTTGGGGATCCAAGGAGTGGGGATGCACAAAACTATGAGTGATGTATCCTATGAGCAACTTAACCTCTCCTACTCAACCCTGACTCTCACCTCCAAGTTGGTGACCTTCAACAACCCTGTGGAAGACTGGTAATCAATCCTAGAGTATCAATACCAGTTACAAAAGTTCAAAGGGAGAAGGAAGACGACGACTTCGCACTATACAAAGACATATCTATTCAGTGCGACTTGGAATATAATAACTCTATACAGCTTGGGCGTATTTCGAAGCCAAATAAGAGGAACCGGTAAATATGCAAATATGCAGTCGTCGACATCGTGCCACAACAGATGAAATGGACGAAATCTGGAACGCTGGAGAAGCAAAATCATAAAATATTGGTTAGCTGTAACCCATCTCAACACACAGTGGTTTCATATATCCTCCTTTTCATATATTACATAGAATCCTCGACTACGGACGCTGACGCTCAAAGGAAGATTCTTTAATTACAGTCGCGTGTATGCATATGAAAACATTTTACGAAGAAATAGAATCTGCTTACTATTCGCACTCAAAGAACAATCTAATACGACTAATAAACCTGGCGGCTTCCCTCAATATGGTTATTGTAAGCACATGGTTTTAGCGGAAAGGCATTCACAAGAGAAGGTGATTCCCAAAGATTCAAAAATTCACTGTATGGCCTATGAATCTGACATAACAGAGTAGGTGAAAAGTAGTGAATAAGGTACAAGAATTACGAATACCAAAAGACGACCGGGCAAAAACACAATTGATCCTACTGAACCTCAAATATCTCAGTAAAAACAGAAGGTACAAAGAGAACATTAATCAAAATAGACAAAAGAGCAAAAATGCTAAGATGGTGTGGTAAAAATGTGATAGAAAAGCAAAAAAAGTATACTGATGGTAACTGGAAGAAAAAAATTAAGCGTATAGAAAACTACAGGAGCGTAGAACTGCATAAGCGAAATACGAGGAAATTTTACTAGAATCTAAATAGAAATTGGAAAGGATATAAATCTAGGGCAACAATGTACATGGACAAAGACGAATGAATTCTGACGTAGCAAGGCGAAATATTGGAAAGATGGATGGTTTACAATGAAGAAAAACTGGGAAGAGGACAAAAAGAACAGACAGAAGATGTTTTGCCGAACTCGTCAGACAAAAGAAAACAAGAATCGTCGATTTTTAGTGAAATGATGGAAGCAATGAACAAATTAAAAAACAATAGGACTAAGAACGGATAAAATCGACCAGGAACTAAGCTAATGCAGGCGCTTTATGAACTT